AATAATAATCAATCATATAGCATGTAACTCTACATTAAAATATCTTTTCAATTTTTAGCAGATGATTAACTATGTGCTATATGATTGATTATTATTTAAAATATTTAATTATTTAAATATGATTTTATAAAGACTTTCATAATTAATTAATTATTTATTATCTAATATTAAATCACCACCCAATTATTTAATTATTTTTCCACTGCTAATGATTTAATTGTGAAGGGTTTTGCTTTTCCTCATTTTTTGCGCAATGAAAGTGTTGCAGCCGCGCACTCATGACAGCGCACCTAACTAAATCAATACTATGTATATCCAACTCCTCTCTCCACTTCCATACTAAAGCTAAAATTGAAAGTCTAAAGGGACTTAAAACAGATTATTTTAGTGGTTTAATAGAGCAGCAATTTTGCGAATGAGAAATCATGCTCTAATTTATATAATTCTTTCTTTTAAAGCTATTTATTAATCCATATAAGCCACCGACATTTTTTTGGACACATGAAAAGCAATAACGGTTCGTTTTTGGTTTAACTCATCTCTCGCGACTCATGAGTCACAACCTCGAAAATGGCTTTCATTAGGCCCCCCCCCCACCTGAATAAAATTTCTGGCTTCACCACTAGTGTCAAGCCTTGGTGTAGTCAAATTTATAACATATATTAAAATGAATAGGAAATGAATAAGAAAAATATATTAAACTAAAGGCAAAAACTATGTGTATAACGGCTCCATCCGCCTACCACTAATAAGCAGTGGCAGGCCAACCTCTATCTCTTGTCATGGAAGGGTACTTTCGACATCCAAGATAACCGGACTTGGGTCCACCACGCATCACAGTAATACATAATACGTAAAGAAATCAATTACATGTCCACCCAAACAAAACTATAACCAAACGAACAAAGCCTACATGACTGTCCGTCATGGTGTCAAGCCTTGGTGTCAACTGACCAGTACGCTTTCAGTTACTCCCAGCGTATAATCCAACTAAGCAAATAAAAAATTGTGCTAAAGTAGAAAAACATAAATATTAAATATTAAATAATAAATAAATAGGCAAGTTTTATTTCCAGCAGTGACGCGGTTTTCCCAGCCATGACGAGGGTGGTTCTGGAACCGTTGAACCGCTGCGGGGAGGGCATACCGGTAATTTCAATGATTTCGCGGGTAGCAATCTGTTCCGACACCTTATAGCGTGCTAGAAATGAACCCAAATCTGAAAATTAAAGGAATAGAACAACCGCTTCGTCCAAATCGAACCCTGGCAGCGATTCTTACCCCAGAAAAAAAATCCTGCCAGCTGGAAACATTCGAATACGATCTTTCTAAGAACGGTTCTCTTCTCTACGCTCTCTTCCTCTTTGTCATCAAGGTCTTTTTTCGTTCCTAAAGCCTTAGTTTTGCTGATCTCAATTCGAACCAATCCGCTCAGTGAGCTTGCCGATCTTGTTGCGGTAAGTTTACAATTATTGAATACATAGCATAAAGATGAAATTTTTATCGATTTATTCAAAATTAATCAGGACATGGAGCAATTCCGGCACATAGGAGAGGTGCTTGGAAGCATCCGAGCTCTAATGGTCTTCCGCGAAGAGATTCGCATAAACCCGCGGCAGTGCCAACTCCTCTTCGACGCCTTCGAAGCGGCTTTCGCCGGCGTTTCCTACGAGATCCGACAGAATCTCCGGCTCGACGAGAAGCAAACGAAATGGATGCCCCTTGAACAGCCGCTCAAGGAACTCCATCGAGTCTTCCGTGAAGGCGAGCAATACATTCATCAATGCCTAGAGCCCAAGGACTGGTGGGGTAGAAGCATCTTTCTCACCCAATCCGCCGATTGCGTCGAACATCATTTACATAATCTTCTTTGCTCCATCCCCGTCATCTTGGAAGCCATCGAGAACATCGGCGAGGTCACCGGTGATGGCCACGAGGACATTCATAGGAGGAGGGTGGTATTCACCAAGAAGTGTGAAAAGGAGTGGATGGAACCCAAGCTTTTCCGGCATAGGTTTGGGGATCTTTACCTTGTTTCAAAAGAAATGTGCAAGAGAATTGATGTTGTCGCTAAGGAGGATAAATGGGCTTTATTGGAAACCATAGATGATATGAGAAGCTCTTTGTCGAAACAGGAGAATCGGTTGGCTGAGCTCTTGAAGTCCCCGAGGGGAAAGATACATCCAATCTCCATGCTTACGAGCTCACCTGATTACCAGTTCAGACGGAGGCTCGGCGCGAGCAGTCATCTTAAGGAGATTCATTGGATGGGAGAGAGATTTGCTCTTAAGCATGTCTTTTGTGATGTGGAGCAGTTGATGCCAGAGACATCTCTTCTGTCTTCTCTTACTCACCCAAATGTATTGCATTACATGTACTGCTTCTCTGATGAGGAGAAGAAGGAATGCTACATGGTGATGGAGCTCATGAACAAGGACCTCTCCAGTTACATTAAAGAGATTTTCTGCGCGAGGAGAAAGTTTCCTTTTCCACTCTCCCATACGGTTAATATCATGCTTCAAATAGCACGGGGAATGGAGTACTTACACTCTAAAAAGATCTACCATGGTGACCTGAAACCGTCGAATATTCTCGTTAAGACAAAGAACAGTTCATCTTCTGATGCTTATGTTCACGTGAAAATTGCAGGATTAGCACAATCTGCAGCAAAAGTGCCTTCGAGTCCCGCGACTGGCAAAGATCCCTGTATTTGGTATGCGCCAGAAGTTCTATCTGATCAAGAACAACAAATTGAAGCAGGAAATGTAAAGAAGTATACAGAGAAGGCAGATGTGTATAGCTTTGGGATGATATGCTTTGAACTTCTTACAGGTAAGGTTCCGTTTGAGGAAGGACATCTTCAGGGTGATAAGATGAGCAAAAACATAAGGTTAGGAGAGAGGCCTCTATTCCCTTTTCCATCACCCAAGTTTCTCACAAATTTGACGAAGAAATGTTGGCTGGCCGACCCAAATCAGAGACCGAGCTTCTCTTCAATCTGCAGGATACTCCGATACATCAAGCGTTTCATGATCATGAATCCTGACAATGGACAGTCTGACCCGCCATCACCGCCATTGGATTACTTTGATATAGAGACTAACTTGTCAAAGAAATTCGATGGATGGGAAAGAAGAGAACTGTTGCAAGTCTATGATATTCCCTTTGAGATGTATGCTTATAGGGTGATTGAGAGAGAGAGGGCCTCCGTAAAATATAAGGAGGAAAATTTTATTTCAAGCAGTGATGCATCTCTCAGTGGCGAGGAGAATAGACTTCCTGCCGTGATTCAGGAGGATGCATTGTCACTTTCTGTAACATCTTCGAGCTCTGGTTCTGTAAAATCAGCTGGTAATTTAATATCCAATGGCAACAAGAAGACTTTGTTGAGGAAGGTTGAAATAAATCCACGGACCAGCAAGCCCATAGGTAAAAGATCGTGATACATCTTTTGAAATGCTTTGCTCATTTGGTTGCATGTAGATAGAGAATGTTTATTATAAAATTTCACTTCTTCTTTTCTACGAAAATGGAACCGTTATGTTTGAGGAGATTTGAAGAAGCTTGTTGAATTTAAAATAATTGCAGATTTCTACCTACATGGCGCGAATTTCAAGATTGTTCAAAAAGAGTGTTAATAACTTCAAATAACCGAAAGAACTCAAAGGCTAATTGCTCCTTCGTGGAAACTAACTTAATTTTCTTCCAAAAGCTTGAAAGAGGTGTCTTAAACATCATATTGTAATTATCTGATAAAATGCAAAAGATAAGATAGTTTGTACAATAAAGGGTAAAGTTGAGTTGTGTGCCAGTGCCAACTGCCAAGAATTTTGTCTCACATTTAACATAGATATCCGGGCTTTCAGCCTCTTTAGCTGTGCCACTATATGAAGCTCATATCCTCTTCTGATTATTTTCCAGGGAAGCACAACGTGAAATTGAAATTAGAGGCTCAGTCTCAGTCTCCTCCTCCACGTTTGCTGTCAAATGGAAGAGGCATGAGGTTGAAGTCAGAGAACCGTCTTCAAGCAATAAAACAAGTTGCGATGAGCCCCCTCAGATACCCAGTAAGACGGAAAAAATCAGGGCATGCTTCAGATTCTGATATATAGGTTTAAAAGACAACCAATCTTCATTCAGTCTGCTGCTTGCTTATTTTTTGTTTTTTTTTTTTATTTTATTATTATTTTTTTAACTTTCTGTGGGGAACTGAATAAAAGGTAGATTAGTGAGAGAAATATCGAAAGCACGAAATCACCACTACACGGTATTTTGATATTGGTTCTCCCTTTCAGGTACAAAAACTTGTTGATTTGCTATACAACGATGTTGGTAGTTTGTTGATGATTTGAGCAAGAATATATTACATGCTTTTAAAGGTTCGTGTTTAATTTTCACTTTCAGAAGAAAATGCTTATATAGTCATTTTGAATCAAAAAAGTTTTCAAGCTAACGTTAGAATGTTCTACTGTTAGCAGAATTCAGTGCAAGAACACTAGCTGCGTTCTGGGTGTTTTTCTTGACTTCATTATTGAACATATTCATGTTTAATTGGTTAGGAGTACATGCATTTTAATAACTATGGATGTATCGAATTATTTCTTAAATTTGAATAGATTTCAGTTGAAATCGATCCAAAACTCATCAATCATTTTGGTTTTGGTTGGTTTGAGAATTTCGATTTAAAGTCAAGACTTTTACCTGTTAGTAATAGATTTTTAATAAAGCTCAATTAAAACTCCAGAGTAATAAGAACATATTTTAACTCTGAACCTCTTAGATAATTATCTTTATTTCATATCTTAAATGTAATTAAGGCAAAATTTAATAAATGAAAACTACTTAAACCTATAATTATGGGTTGAAACAGTCTTTGTTTTTAGGGTGTACAAACTTATAAAAAAAATAAAAATATATATAAGAAAAAATTCAAAATAAATTTTTTATTGCATTATAATTGATAAATTAAAATAAATTTACGAGCTTTGCATTCTATTTTGCATTTTTTGATAATGTTGAATTACAATTTCATTTGGAATCAAGTCAAACACTTCTTTATCATTATATAGTAGTGCACAATCACTGAGTTAGTCATCATTCTTTTTATGTGATAATCGTTGTTTAATAATTTTAATTATAGAAAATGCACTTTTCCACTGCAGCAATGACAACTAGCAAAGTTAATATCAAGATAAAAAGCCTAAAAATAAGAGGATACATATAATCTTTTTTAACCTTAATAATTTTCTTTGCAAGATCAACAATGCTACGTAAAGATAAGAACTACTCACTTGTTAATACCTTATGTTCAAAAGTCATAAGTTTAACTATAGAAAAATCTATTGAATATAACTTTACAATCCGATTTTTTTTTTTTTTTGAAGAGAAATAATAAAATTGCATTAACTAAAAGAAAATAAAGTACAAAAACAACCTAGGGGCTAATCCCAACAAATTCCTCCTTTAACAGATTAATAAATGAAGGATAAACCTTATTATAGCTAATCTCATCCCAAATGAAATCACTACAGATAGCATAGTTAGCACATATATCTGCTAAGCTATTACAATTCCGATCAACACAATTAAAGATAACATTGTCAAAATCTTTTAGAAAAAAAAATGTTCCATCAGTTTACCTCCCTTCCTGAAGACTTGTCGAAGATGCTGAATAACATTAGAGTTGTCAGCTTCTATAATGATCCCCTTGTATTGAAACAACCATTCTTTGACAACCACTTTTAATAAAGTAATTGATGATAGTTCAAGCTGTGATATATCCCAATGAATGCTCTTTCTTCCAAAAGCCATAAGAAATTTTCCATGATTATCTCTAAATATACCTCCAAGACCCGCCTTGTAAGAGGATAGTAGTGATGCGTCTACATTTATTTTTATCCAATCGGGTGGAGGGGGTGTGAACAATTCGATAGTCTAACTGACTGATTAACACCCCAGTTGCCTGAGCTTATATCACCATAAGAAGAAAAAAGGACGACCAAGATATTGCTTGAGCAGCAATAAATTTAGAATTTTCTATATAACCATCATGCTTAAATTTGTTTCTAGCTTTCCACGATAAATATGCAATGTTGCAGAACACTTTGGCAATGAAATTGTTATCTTTTGTTGCTTTATCTAACCATTTACAACAATCTTCAAAATATGGAAAAATCAGAAATTGGAAGCCCAACTATTTATGACATGAATAATACCCCTCAGCTTTTCACATCTTGTTATAACATGATCAATATCCTCTGTCTCATTACATCCTCTAGAGCATGTAAAGTTCTCTTGTAATCTTCTGCTAAACAAGAACTGGTTTGTGGGAATTGCATTGCTATATAAGCGCCACCAGAAAACTTCAACTTTTGGCATTGATTTTACCTTTTTTATCCAATTCCAGTAACTCCCGTTAACTCCTGTTGGACTTGTTTTGCAATTCTGCTTCCAAAACTAATGAAGACAAAGACTTATCAGATTGCATATGGATTAGTTCTAATCTATCTTCCTCCATGTTAGGCATAATTTGAATGTGAAGAATTACATTAGCCAACTCTTTCCCAAACAAATTATGATGAATAGGCATATTCCATGTAGTGTCCAGCAATAGCATATCCACTGCCATTTCTTCATCGCCTGGAATAGCCACAAAAGTAGGCCATCTATTGATGCATTTATCCCAAATCCACACATCATTGAATACATTTATTGATCTCCCATCCACGATATTCCATCTAACAATTTTTTTAAGACATTTGAAACCTTCCAAGACCATTTTCAAAGCAACAGAAATTCCATTCTTGTTACCGTGTTATGCAAACAAATTTCCATATTTTGGTTCTAGCACTCTGTGTAATAAGGAATTCCTATTTTGAATGAATCTCCACGCCATCTTGGTTCTCAAAGGGCCCACCTTATTTATACAAGAGTGTAACCCACGTCCTCTCCTATCAACTGGTTTGCACAGTGTGTCCCACCCAACATAATGCAAGCCCAATCTTCCATCACTCTTATCCCAAATGAAACTTCTACACAACTTATCCATCAATTTTAACACACTTATAGGAATTATAGAATGAGTGGAATGAAAATTTGGGTAAGACAACAAGACCGTTCTTACCAATGTAAATTTCCCTGCTAAAGATAAGAGTTTACTTCCCCAAGTATTCAGCATTTTAAAAGCTTTATCCACCATACTTTGAAAATTTGCTCCAACCAATCTTCTCAATGCCACTTTGACTCCAAGATAGTTGAATTCTTTTACTTCCTTGAAACCCATGATTCGATTTATAGCCCTCTTCCTTCTTCTTTTCACAAATTTTCCAAACATAGTAACAGATTTGTTGACATTTATCATTTGCCCTGTCCACTTACAGAAATCTGAGAGAATAACTTTGATATCTTTCACCATTTTGATATATCATATCATCCGCATACAATATGTGAGAGATCCTTGGACCGTTAGGACAATTATGAATACCAATTTTATTATTTTTTTTTATAAAAAACATTTGAGAGAAGTTAATAACATAGAATGAAAAGATAAGGTGATAGAGGACAACCTTGGCGAAATATGCTTTTCCCATTGATCCATGTAGAATAATTGCCATTAATTAATAAAGAGAACATTGGATTTTCTACACACTCCATAATAAGCTTAGAAAAGCTCCCAGGAAATCCAAAATACTCTAAAACCTTTCTCAAGGTATCTCAACACATGCAATCATATGCTTGCTCCAAGTCAATTTTGAAAGATATTAATCCCTTTGAAGCTTTAAAAAATCTGAATTTGTGGAACATCTCTTGAGCTACCAGTACATGTTCTGACATTGATCCCCCTTTAAGAAATGCAGCTTGTTGTTATGAGATCAGTTTAGGTATAATACTTACCATTCTATTAAGAATTACCTTGGCCACCACCTTATACATAGTTTTGCATAAGCTGATAGGTCTGTAGTTTACAAGATTTAATGGGTTTTTTATTTTCGGGACTAACACTATCTGGGTTTCCTTCCATTTCATGTTGCTCCCAGTTTCAAAAAACTGTAAAACAACATTCCAAATATCTATCTTAACAATCTCCCAATAGGCCTTGAAGAAAGAGTAAGTTACTCCATCCATCCCTGGAGCAATGTTCCCAGCTGATTGGAAAATTACCCCCTCCATTTCATTCCACGAGATTGCTCTTTTCATCCACATTGCATCAGCTTCATTTAAGGAACATAACGGAGATGGCCAGCCTTCTGTATCACAACTTCTTTCCTTCCACTTTTCATTGAAAAACTGAATAAATTTATCTTCAATAAGATTTTGATCTTCCACCAAAGACCCACTTTCATCTTGCAATTTGAATTTTTCCTGGCGCTTACAAAATATTGATAGAATTTGGAATTAGAATCTCCATCCATCATCCATTTAACTTTGGCATGTTGCTTCCACCACGTGTTCAATCTAGCCAAAGTAGCATTCAATTCTGAGATTTTTACCTTGAGCTGCCAACTTTCTTCATCCGTAAGGAAACCCACATCAGCCTCTTTTAATTGTAGCTCTAAGATCTCTTTTAGTAGACATTCTTTTAATAAAGAGAAATTCTTCAATTTAGCCTTACTCCAAAAAAATAGAGATTTTAAAGCTTTTTTGCATTTTGAACCCAGAATTTCAGCACAATTCCCATTAATTTTCTTTCACCAAACATTTTTAACAATGCCAAAAGATGCTGGAAATGAAGACCAAGTATCTTCAAACTTAATAAGCTTCTTCTCCATCATTTTACTTTCCATAAGGTTCAATAAAAACGGACAATGGTCCGAAGCTATTCTTGCCAAATGTCTAGTATATAGTCTCTGATGGAAGTTTATGGCAGCAGGATTCAAAAAACACCTATCAAATCTTTCCAGAATTCTAGCTCCATCGGTTTTGTTATTGCACCAAGTATATCTTGGTCCAATAAAATCAATTTCATGAAGATCATTATTAATTAGAAAGGTCATCATATCCTTTGATCCTTGAGAGTAAATGAAACGATTGCCACCTCTTTTATCTTCTTTAGAAAGTAAACAATTGAAATCTCCCCCTACAACCATAGAGATGTCTTTGGAGGAGAATGCTTCCAAGTCCCTCGACAACTCTCTTCTTTCGTAAACTTCTTTGCTACCATATACCGCCAAAATCCTCCAATAGTCAGAATTAGGCCACTTGAGATCTCCATTTATTACTTGTTGATTTGCATTTAGAACCGAGAATGAACCCATAGTAGATTTCCACAAAATAAGAATACCTCCTGATAATCCATCCGATGGAACATAATAGAAGTCCTAATCTAAACCAATTAAATCAACAACTTCCTTTCTATTAATAGAAGTTAATTTGGTTTCTAAACAGGTCGAATTATTTCCCATTATCCTTAGTAAAAAATGAGTTATTTGAATTTAAACACA